GTATGTATATATATTCATATGAGGGTGTGTATGTGTATCTTTTGATTTAGCTAAAAATATTTTCCTTTCTTTTGCGACTCTTTGCCTTTGCTTTCAAGTATTTTAAGTGAGTGTTCGAGTGACTCTCGCCAGCCTGTCTCTTATACACATCTAGATGTGTATAAGAGACAGTGTTTTTAGTTTTGATTTCGAAATATTTACACATTTTGCGACTACAGTAGACAAAAAATATATTCGAGGACTTTAATATTGTTCTATAACTCTGTAGTGTTTTTTTAGTGTGTGTGTGATGGGTTATGAATGGGTATGTGTGTGTATGATTTTATTGTTTTTTATTCAGACTAAAACGCCATAATACTTGCTTTACTTAGTTCCAGCATATTAGCTACATTCTATTCTAGAAATATTCTAGAGCAAATATTCTTATTAAGCTTTTTGTTAGCAACAAATGTGTTTAAATTTATATTTTGTTCTTCCTCAAACGCATTATGCTCTTCTACGACTTCGCCAATTATTGGATCCATACTATATTCAAGGTCGTCCGATTCAAAACTCGACTCATAACTCGACTTAAGACGCGACTTATAACTCGGTTTAAAAAACGAATCAAAAATCAACTTTAAAATCGATTCAAAAACCGATTCCAAAAACGACCCAAAACTAGATTTTAAACTCGATACAAAATCCGATTCAAATTTCGATTCAATACTATTCATGCGCTTAAATGTTGGTATGGTTTCGTTTAGTGCCATTTGTCTTTTCAATGGTGCTCCACTGTTTAATATATCTCTTATTTCGGTATTATCATTAAAAACGCATGACATTAAATAATTGATTAATAACAGTAAGCATAAAAATTGCACGAAATGTACAAATTTTACATTCTTATACAAACTTACAACAAAAGGATGACAATGGAGTCATTCCGGAAGCGCAAATTGATCTTGTTCCATTGGTTTTTTCAGCCAGCTGCCGAGATCTTCGCGACGAAAAGCCGCAAATAGCTCTTTCTTGGCAATCTGAAAGTTAGAAAACAAATTAATACTGTGTTTTTGGCGCTAATGTGGACTAAATGAAGCTTTGAACTATAATCTTGACGAAAAAATCATAACCTTTAAATCCAAAAGTATGAAAATGATTGGAATATATTCAACAACTTGCTTGTTTGTATGATTATAAATATATTTCATACTAAGATAAATAACGAGAATAGCTCAAAATCCGCCAAAACACTCACCTGGTAGTCCTTAACCCTCTCCTTTGTTTGCCCGTAATCGGTCGTGAGCTTGCGATTTGGTATGCCGGGCAAATTTTTCATCAAATAGCCATACTTCATGAAGTACATCTGCTTGGTAATGCGCGATATTTGGTTATTGACCGTTTTGCCGGTAAGCGAATTTACCACCTCCACTTCACTATCACCGATCGTCCAATTGATGCCGAAATTCGGTGCCTTAGCTTGATTGCGCGGCTCAGCCGATGTGACCAATGCCAAGCGTGGCTTATTCAAGTGATAGGGTGGCGGAAGACCTTGTATGGATTTCTCTATTCGACCGCAGACGGCACGATACATGTGCTCGGGATGCAATAAACTGCCCAAAACTATGGAATGCAAATAAATCGGCTCGATAATAGAGGCCAGCAGTGAGCCCTGTATGCCAACAATGTTCCAGCGTGCAATCTTGTCGGAGCAGGACATCGTGAGCAAACGTTCACCCTGTGGGAAGTATTAAAAATGCATTTTTAGTTGGAAATCTCTCGAGTGCATTAGAAATGAGTACTCACCTGCAGTACGCCATCCCATGTTTGTAATCCTTCTTTGCTTTTGACCGGTATGGTGCCCTCACCCGATTCGATTTTCGTACGCAATTGACCACGCGCCTTTCTGCCGTCGCACAACACATAATACGACGCATGGATTTTTAAAAGCAAGAGAGCAAGCGCAAACGAGTTTAGCAAGCGCGGGCGCGGCAGCAGTCCGCAGCAAAATCGTTCAATTTTCATTTAAAACGCCAATTTTCAGAATATTGTGGTATTAACATATTAGCAATGCATATATATACATATATATATATATAGATGTATGATATTTTCAGGTTCGCACGCAGGCGCAGCAGTTTACAGCATTATGGCACAGTGGTAGCGGACATGAGCGAGGAGTTCACCCAACAACAAGGCAATGTAAGCGAACAACAAAGGTATAACACAAAAACAATAACAAAACATATAAAGAATTGGAAATTATCGGAAAAAAGAAATTTGAGAGAAAAAAGAGAAGAAAGAATTCATTTATCGATTGTACATTTCACATTCTAAATAAATAGAATTAAATACAGTTCATACTTAAATGTATAGCTTAATTCACTCATTTTGAAATGTAAATAATGGCGCTTTTAAATAACTGTATACACAGCTAAGCTTTAATTGCGCACAAAAAGCGTTAAAACGTGTCGATTTAACGCCCTCTGTGCTTGGAATGGAATTTTGAGGAGTTTTTGAGTGAGTACCAAACTTTATTATACGTTTACCTAACCAATTTGCTATTGGACCGTGTATTTATTATTTTGCTAGAATTTTGAGCGAGCTCTCCGTCAATTTCTAAATGTGGTTTTTATATTTTTTGATAAATACATGGTGCTAGATGTCATAAACTGCTTCTAAAACTCTTAATAATTTCATAGATACACTCTGAATATGGTCCTTATATACTGCGGAACCACCGCTACCCTAAACAACATTTTCCACATTATTTTGAGAATTTTAGGTTAGGGTTTCAACCAACAGACCATAGGGTGACAGTTAAATAAGGAAATACATTTCTGTGCACATTGTAAGGTCGTTCTCGTGCTCCACGGGCTTCCTGGCTTTCTCTATACTTATTTTCGAGATAAGAAACCAATTACTTAAGTAGGACAAAGTTTTCAAATCACTCGTTAACGACACTGGTGTTCGATTTGTGCAATAAAAACCCATCAGCCGGTCGTTGTAAATCACGCTACTTTGCTTGGACCTTGGGTATCAACAAATGTAGCTAGAAGCCATTCTCCATGCTCCTACTGGATGTGTTTCCAATAGCTTTTTCACGCTGATAGTTCAAACAATTGCCGTTGTGAGCTGTGACCGAAATAAGCTCACTTATTTTTGCACAATATCGACTCTTCGTAGCATGGAGAGATCTTCATGATCTGGAGAATTTCTGTGTAATACTTAAATAATCCGTAGATACATGAAGATTACCCAAAAAGGCTTGAAAAACTTTAGATTTTCGGTGGTAAACATTAATCACAGAATAAAAAAAAATTTTTTTTGATGCAATTTTAAGGTTATAATTATATATTTGTTGTAACTAACGGCACTCCAGTTGACTTTGAACTCATTTTTGTATATACTCGTACAGCAGTATTCTATTAAATTGCTTAGCAATTTTCGGTTTTAAAATTGAGGTTATGGTTTTTGACACTAACTTATAACCTAAGATTAATATCAATTATATGTTTGACTTATGAAAAAAGACCATTTCTTTCATGGATATATTCTATAATTAAAGCAAGGCGGTCCTACTTTCTTTAAAATGCTTTTTTAAAAAATTATGCCGGCACTCACTCAAAAACTCAAATATATTCGCTGAAATATAATTATTCATAAGTGCTTAGTATATTTATAATGTTTTTAGACTCTTACAAATAACAAAATGGGAAGCATAACTCAATTCAAATGTTCCTTCTATGAAGTTATTTGCGCTTTTGTTTTTGTTTTTCATATACTTTTTTTTTTTAAATAAATTTTTTATCTCTTTAATTAATTAATTTATTTTTTGTTGAATACTTAGTAGTAGTAGTCTAGTTTGTTTAAGGTTAAAATTTTGTAATTTCATTTGATTTTGTTTACCAACCTATTTGGATGTTTGTCAACACCAGTGTCATTTTCGTGAGGACTAAAAATCCGTGCATCACCACAAGGCGCTGTATTGATGTACAAATGGAAATGAACACCGGATTTTAGTTTGTACGGGTATTGCCCATTGTCTTGATTCCTCACGAAAATCGACTGATTTGCAGTGGCTATAAAAATCAAAAGTTGAAAAAAAGAAAAATTTGTTTATGCGACTTTAGTAAATACGAGATTAATTGTTTGACGCATGTCATGTTTTGCTTGTAGTAGTAAGTAGTAGTAGTAGTATTTGTTAATTTTCATTATTAATACAAAATAACAACTAGTATATATATGTACTATATGTTCTATGTACTATGTTCTATGTAATTGTAGGTAAAGTTGTTAAAGAGGTATGCGCTTAAAGTGAAAGTTAAAGTTGATAAAAATAAGTGGGTTGCTAGAGCAAATAAATAGTTTTAATAAGAAAGTATAGGGTGTTAGTTATATAAAAAGAAAAACTCATTACAGGATGACCCTGCTATATGCAAACTAGGCGTCTAAGAGAATGTAAACAAAAGTAATGATAAAATATCGTTCATTTTACTTTACGCTACCGGCTTCTTTTCTATGCTTGCTATTGGAAAAAAGTTAAAAGAGCTTAAATATTTGTTTAGAAATGAAATTTAGTTATGTAGTTCCAAAATATGCTTAATATGTGATTACTTAAATATATATAAATATCTGTGTATGCTTGTGGGTTAAGGGCTCGTATACTATGAAAATTGAATATCTCTCCTCAAGTGGATTTAACACAATTTTATTTCTATGTCTATGTTTGAAGTTAGAAATTTCAAAATGCTAAAGGCCGTTATGATTATTTTGAAACCGACTATGCAGTTTATTTTCCGCTATTTTGTCAATAACCGTGTAAAATTTATGATTTTTTGAATGAAATTATTAAAAAAAAATATTTTTTTTCGTAATTTATGCATATTTTACGCAATTTTGTCAATATCCGTGTAAAATTTATGANTGATTTTTTGAATGAAATTATTAAAAAAAAATATTTTTTTTCGTAATTTATGCATATTTTACGCAATTTTGTCAATATCCGTGTAAAATTTATGAATTTTTGAATGAAATAAAAAAAAACAATATTTTTTTTCGTCATTTAGACTTATTTTCCGCTGTTTTGTCAATAACCGTGTAAAATTTATGATATTTTGAACAAAGTTATTTAACATTTTTTATTTTACGTGAAGGTCTCAAAAAACTTGATAAACTGTGAAATCTGGTAGTTAGTAGAATTTTATTTAGTCAAAGCTCGGTAGGGAAAGGTTCTAAAAGTTCCATTTATTCTTTTTCCGAGCTCCCCCAAGCAATTAAATGAAATCATGGAAAAACTAACTTTGCTGTAAAGCAGGATGGATAAGAAATATGATGGATAGAGCTGACCTTCACTAGTATGTGCTGTGGAAAATCTAACCCAAAAATCCGATTAAAGCTATTTAAATAAGGCTTGTTCCTTATTTCCTAGCTTTTTTCGCAGACTATGCATATATTGAAACGAAAACCATATCACTTTGCTTAATTTTCGAAGTAATCTACAACTAACCTAATAAAAATTAAATATTACCGAAGGAAGCACTCTCATACATTTTTACTATATTTCCAAAAAAATTCTTCTTCCTATATTCTGATATTATATTTTAAACAGCAGTGGTATATATACTATAGATTTTCTAGTTGGCTGCTGAATCATGTGTAAACTATTTTGAAAATTTTCTCCACTCCTTTGTAGGTCGCAAGTCATAAAAATATTTATAAAGATCGTTAAATTTATGTGTACTAGTGTACTATGTGGCTAGATCACGTGCTAAGCGTTGAGGGTGAAAATTTTAAGTATCCCATATGGTCTAGTGGCTAGGATATCTGGCTTTCACCCAGAAGGCCCGGGTTCGATTCCCGGTATGGGAAATTATTTTTTTTTTTACTTTTATTTAATTTATTTAATTTTTTTATTTAATATTTTATATTTCTTTGTTCAAAATTTTTATTGTTAAATCGAGCGCATTCTGAGCAACTTAATGGCAAAGGAAATGTGTCTTTGGCGTGCATTTAAGATTTAATTTTTTAAGGAATATTTGCATGCAAAACTGTAGTAGTTGTGAGCGGAGTAGAGTAAAGAGCTGTGATAATATGTTTAGCGAAAGCCAGTTATGTCTATGTAGCTATACGTTTCTAGCTGCGCAGTAAGCCAACCAAAGTTTTTTGCGGAAATGCAAGTTTTGTAAAGTTAAAATTGAAATTACTTGAAAGCGATTTAAGATTTAAAATGAGTGTTGAGGTAAATTCTTATGCAAAAATTATTGTAATTACTTTAGTTTTTTTTTTATCTATTTTATACTTATATTTTTCATGTACTTCTT